AGATGGCAGCAGGAGACCCTGTCCATCGAATATATGAAAAACAATTACACTTAAGACTGATTCATTCAAGAATCACCTCCTGATCCACCTGCACTGGGTTGGGATCCCACAGCGCTAGGTTCTGTACAGCCAACAGCCCACAAGCCAGCCGACTCACTGGCGGCACGGACAGACACACAACGAGGAGATACTCAGCACTGAGCTGTGGATGAGCAACCCATAGGTCTGTTTTTCCCCTTGTCTCTAACATTTAAGATTCTGTGGTAAAGAATACCTTATCTTGACATAGGATTTTTAAATAATCCAGTCTGTATGGAATGGACATCCATAACTCCTACCCTGAAACCACAAATAAACATAAAAGCAGAATTTGTCTGCTTGAAAATCATGGTTGTATAACACATGAATACAATTTATTTGGGGAATCCCTACAGTTCTCAACCTCGCAAACAGCACTAAGGCTCTATACTTGACTAACCAAAATCCGAGCTGGGGAAGAAGGGACAGTAGGGATGGACACATACCATGAGCTTTTATGACAAAAAAAAAAAAAAAAAAAAAAAGCAACAGCCTTGCAGGTGCTGAACAAGGTGAGCTACAAACCCGCCCGTTCCTCACACCTCCCAACAAGCAAATCGATTTACGGACCCAAACCGCTGCTGTGCCCCAACAACCACAGTCCTGCCCCTCTCCTTCACGGATGCTGCCGCGCCGAGGGCGCGGGAGGCCGGAGCGGGCGGGTCGGTGGCTGTGACCGCCGGGAAGCGGGGAGGCCTCAGCCCTTTCCCCCGCTGGGAGGGCGCATCCCCGCGCAGGGGCAGGTCTCTGCTCCTGGAGGGACCGTCCCCAGGGCGCTCACAGCCTCACGGCCCGGGGCCGCCGCCTCGCTGAGGGGAAGGGCGGGAGGAGGGCGGCGGTTGAGGCGATGAGAAGGGCTGGAGGGGGGGCAGGTCGGAGGAGGGGGTAGGATGGCTGGGAGGCCGAGGGACCCCGGCCGGGGAAGCTGAGGGGCCGAGGGGAGCGGAGCGGCGGGCAGCCGGAGGGTACTCACTCAGCCACGACTCCAGGCTCTCCCCCTCAGCCTCCGCCATGTTGCCGGCCCGGTCCGAGGCCCCGCCTCGGCCGCGCGAGAGCCGAGCCGGGGGGGGGGCGGAGCCAAGACGAGGACCGCCCCCCCCTCCCGCGCGCTCCCCGCCCCTGGCCCCGCCCCGAGCGCGGCGGGAAGATGGCGGCGCCCAGTGCGGCGGTGCTGAGCCGGCGGCTGCGGGCCTGGCTGCCCCGGTAAGCGGGGCCGGGGGAGCGGGCGGCCGGGCTGTCTGCGGGGGTCGGGGAACCCGGCCCCTACGCGTGGGGTCCGCTGCGGGGGCGTGTGCTGATCCCCTGTGGCGGAGGGGCATAAGATGTCTCGGTACCCCCCCACACCCCGTGCCGCTCACCAAAACACACTAAAAAGCCGCCTCCTGCTGCGAAAAGTTAGTAAAATCCCAGTTTAAGGTACTCGCCCCCCTCCCACGGGAACAAAATAGTATTTATTCAAGCCACCCACAACCTGGGACCTCACGGTGCGGGGTGAGGCCTGTGGGCCGCTCGGCCCGGGGAAGGCTCGTCCGTGGGTGCAGGCAGGGAGGCGAGCTCAGCCCCCCCAGTCCGGCCCAGCGCTCCCAGTCTGGCCCGTCTCTTTGGCGAGGGGATTGCCTGATAGTTCTGCAGCAAAACTTGTGCCTCTGGCTCTGCTGCAGTAGAGAAGCAGTGACGGGGAGGAAGGCGGCAAAGCCCCTCAAGTCTCAAATGTCCTTCTGAGACATGTTCGCATCTGTCCACGTCCCCATCACGACAGCATGCATGTCAGTTTACAGCCCTCCTCTTCTTGTTCTTGCAGGCTGATGCAGGTGAGATGGAGTCGCTACAACCCCAGTTTCTTAGAGCCAGAAGTGAACAAAGAGTTCTATCAGAAACCTTGGGAGGAGCTGTCTGAGGAGGAACGGGAAAAAGCGGAGCTTAAGGCTGTTCAACCCATAAAAGCTGCTCCTCCCAGTCTCTCCACCTCTGTGTTCAGCGACCCCATGATCAGGTCAGAGAAAGCATCATCTCCTCCTCCGTTACAGCTAGGTCCCATGGAGCCAAAATGGTTGGGAGCTGTGCTGTCCTCCTCAGCCTTTACTTGCTGCGCTGCACATTGCCTTCTGTTGCAGCACAATCCTTTTATTTGGGTTAATCTTTTCCCACAAAGCCAGTCCATTGACTGACAGTGATTAGAGATAATTACAGCAGATCTAGCAGCACCCAGACTTAACCATGGGAACAACACAAAAGCGGGGGGCTTATTTGTGTGGGTGATAAAATCAGAATTTAAATCAGATTGCATTTGGCTTTGTGTTTACAGTAAATTCACCAATATGATGATGAAGAATGGAAATAAAGTGCTGGCCAGAAGCCTCATGTCTCAGGTGAGAAATCAAGTTTCTTCTCACTATTATGTTAAAACAATATAAAATGGAAGGCTGGGATGTCAAGCCCACTGGAATTAGGAATTAGCAGAACTCAGGTCATCTCTGCGATCCTAATGCATTTCCCTCTGCACACACACATTATTCTCACCATTATTTATCTGATAAGATTCACATTTTGTACAAGCCCCAACCTCGCTCAGCTCACAGACCAGGTGGTGATAGCTTAGTGGATAACGTTCTGTTTCCACTCGTCAGTATCTCTTAGACCTTATGTACTGCATAATCTTGGAGAATGTCCTTAAAAGCATAATTTTCTCAAAAGATCTTCCTTCCAGCTCTCTTTCATGCCTTATCTTCTGTGAAACTTGCCAATGAAGTCCCACAAATGTGTCACCTATATGACACAGCTCTGACCCCTGCTCTTACCTACAGTAACTGCTATTAGCCAGTCATCTTATCTGGTGTTTTCCACCCTTGAAAGCCCTTGAAACAGGGACACACATTGCCCAAATGTTCCCTAAGTAACTGCTGATTCCTTGTGACAAAAACACACAGGCTCTGGGCTCTTGAGTCCAGGCTTTGGAGGGGAAGATGCTTAGCGCACACAAACTTGTATTCCTGTCTCCACTTTGTCCCTGCCCTTCCCTGGCTTCTGACCCAGGTTTGTGGTCCTCAGCCTCCTGCCTGATAAAGAGACTGAAGAGCTGGAGGAGGATGAAGTAAAACTTGAGTTAGAGAATCTCAACTTGCCTGTTGCCTATAGGGCTAGAAAGCCAGCTGCTCAAGTGAAAATGGGGTACTTGTAAAAGTCATGGAGTGGGATGATCTGTCTGGCATGTCTCCTTTCTTATCTTTGTCCCAAGACTCTAGAGGCCATTAAGAGGAAGCAGCTGGAGAAGTACCACAAAGCTCCAGAAAACGAGAAGGAGACCATTGAATGCAACCCTTATGTCATTTTCCACCAGGCTCTGAAAAACTGCCAGCCCATCATTGGGCTCAGCAGCATCACAAAAGGAGGGAAAACCTACCAGGTGAAAACGGGGGCCTGGGAGCACATTTGGTCGGGAGAGAATTAGCTAGGGAAGCAGATGAACTGGTTTCCACCCCTTCAGTTTAAGGTTTCCTCTCCTTAGAAAGAGAGTGACTTTGCAATCTGGATTAAAACAGCACCTAGAAACTCTGTCCAAGATCAAGACCCCAGCCTGTAAGCATGGTAATTCCCCTATCAGCAGCAGTCTCTGCTTTTCTGACCAGTTAAGAGGGGGAATACACCGCAAATTTTGTTCAAGGAGACAGAGATCAATGATGGGCAGCAAAAGAATTGCCAGTCCGGGGACTACCAGTCCCATCCTCTGTGCTGCATTGTGTTGCCTGGGTAGAGTTCCTAAAGCCCTGGGGCAGGTCAGCATAGCAGAAAAGGTCAACTAGATACAATGAAGTATTTAAAACATGAGCAGATCCTGTCTCTAAGTATGGGCTCTGCAACACTTGAGACCTGCATGACCTCAGCACCTGTATGACTGTTGGGGAAGAGCAGGTTATTGCACCCTCACAGTTTGATACCTGTTATGGTTTAAACCTTTCCCAGGTCCCGGTCCCTCTGAAGGACAATCGGAAGCGGTTCCTGGCCATGAAGTGGTTAATCACAGAGTGCAGGGAGAACAAGAACCGTCGAACGCTGATGCCTGAGAAGCTCTCCCAGGAGCTGCTCCAGGCCTTCAACAACGAAGGGCCCATCATCAAGAAGAAGCACGTGCTGCACAAGATGGCAGAGGCCAACCGGGCTTACGCCCATTTCCGCTGGTGGTAGGGACGCTGTGCACCGGCCACGGTGCCACCAGCCCCACAGCCTGGGGAGCAGAGCTCCAGGGCTGCCCGCCTGGGAGGAGCTGGGGACAAGAGGGAAAGGTGGAAGATCCCTTCCAGATGGCTTCTGAACTAAGCCAGGGAAAGCTCACCTGATCCCCACAAGGTTCATTTCCTTTGTGCTTGCTTGGATGGGGGAATCTGAAAGAGTTACCGACCCCTGCACGGATACTCTAGTTATTTCATAATCACTTTCCTGTGAAGACAAGCCTTAGACGCTTTTCTCAGAGCAACGCTGTACAAAATAATCTCCCACTTACCTGTTTCCTGGGGACTTGTAAATCTCTGCTCCTGTAATCAGCAATGGTTTTGGCTGCACAGCTAAGAGCAGAGCTGCATTTTTTTCCACATTATAACCAGCCTGAGCGGGATTGGTACAAAAGGCAATAAAAGGCCCTTTTCGATTTTTGGTTCTGATCATCAGCAACATTGTCTGCACAGATTTGATGGGAATGCTAACAAAAAATAAAACCAGTTTTATGGGGAAGGTTTCTCAATTCCAACCTTTTGTCTCTGTTGCTCAAATCTCACACTGCACGTTCCAACTGCCCTGGTTGTGTAAAGCCACACTGACGCTACACCGGAGGAGAAAATGAGTATCATAGCCTTAAGGCTTCAGTCAGGAGCAACCTTTAAGTATTGTTCATAGCTCAGCAGCTGCATAGAGAGAAAGCAGGGCACCTGTTGGTGGAAAACTTTTATTAGAAAAAAATCCTTCAATATACTATTTTGTTTCCTTTCTTCCTCTCCCATTGTTGTAAGAAACATACCATAATTAAAACTCCCTAAATTCTGAAAAAACAAGACAGTTATTGTATAAAACTTACAAAAACCTGTTCTTAGCTACATGTGCTCAGGGACCTGTCCTGCTGCAGGCTGCCTTGGAGCAAGTATTGGTGGCTTGTGACCCGAGGGGGAGGCTGTGTGCGTGCAGGTGCAGCCAGCGTGCTAGAAGGAGTCTCCGAAAAAGAGCACTTTGTTGAGCTGTTTGCGAGGCCACAGTGTTTTCTGCGACTTGTCCCAGAGAACCAGGTATAACCTGAGGTGTGAAACATTCCCTCTCCGCCTCCCGCAGCTTTGCTGGCTCTCAGGTGAACCAAAATGTTCTCAGCCTAAACTGTGCTTTCCTTAACGCCTATATAAAATGCTGGTTTGAGCTAGAAGACTTCATTGCCCATTGCTGGCAGCAGCCCAATATTAGACAAAATCAGTGGGAGAACTTGCTGAGTTAAATATGCCCTGCCCTTCCCACCTCTACAAACCTTCAAAGTCAGGCCAATGCCAGTTGCAGCCTGACAGTTACATGCCCAGAGGCTCTAGCCAGTATAAATCCTATTTACAGGAAGTGCTAGCAAAACATTAACGTGAAAAGAAATTCAAACTTGGCATGAAGCTTGCTGGTGAAAGTGCCGGGGACATCTCTCCACCTCTGCTGTAGAGAGGTTAATCCATCACTTCGCTGTAATAGTATTTCTGGGCAGCGTCCGTCATCTTCCAGTCGGCAGCCCGAAACTCGATGATCTCCAGCAGCAGGAGCTGGGACAGGGAGCTGAGCCCCTCCTGCAGAAGGAATCCATCTCGGAGGAGGGAAAAGAGCTCATCCATCCGCTGGGAATTCATCTTCTCCAGCTGCTCGCCGATGCGATGGAGCTGTAGGACCAAGCAGTCCACCTTCAGAAGGAAGAGAAATAGATGGCTGAGTACAAAGGAATGGAGAGCTTGGGCACATCTCTGCAGAGGTCCCCATCAGTCACTCATGGACCAACTCATCCTGGTCCTTCTGGATTTCCAACAGGTGACAGTTCTGCATCCCCCGAGCCACTGTGACAGGAGGCAGGAGAGGCCGAATGTCTCTTCTGGCAAAAGCGCATCCTAAACTCCCTTGTTTCTCAGAAAAAAATGCCAGAGAAATGCACCTGCAACAGGTGGAAAAAAGTTATTTCCTGCAGGATGTCCAAGAGATGATGGCAAGGCTGACGCTGAGGCCAGAGCAAGGAGGTGTCTCCAAGAAGAGGGGGAAGTGGTTGGAACATGTACTAAAGCTTTTAAAAAGTCCGGTGATTTGCAGGAAACAGAGGCACTAACTGAGTCTTTGGAAAAGACGGGAAAGTCGATGGGCTGCAGGGGTGGAAAGGTTGTGCTAAGATAAACCCAAAGGGCCCATCCAAGGGCCCCTACACCTTACAGGAACCCCTCGCCTGAGGGGTGACTCTGCCATGCCCCATGCAAGTTGCCGCACACCCAGATGTGTGCGAAGCTCCAGCTCCAGCAGAGCCTCCTCCAACCCGCTGGGGTCTGGCGCAGCATCAAAGCTGCGGGCCCAGGCAGGTGAGCAGCAGCTACACCAAGCATTGCACAGCACGCCCCGGGACCTGCGGGGACACAGAGCTGCTCTGCACACCTGCAGTCACTCTGCCGTCACCTCCCGCGGCTGTGGTGCCTCGGCAGGTCGGTGTGACAGCTCCTTTTCCAGATATCCACCAACCAGGGCTGCTGGAAAAACAGCTGGTTTCTGTGAAAATGGGAGAGAGTCATTGTCTGCATTTTTCTCACATGATGGGAGGTGAACCTGCGTAACACCGGACAGTCCCTGCTTCAAGGGACAGCTGGGCTGCTGCATCTCCAGTGACAACGTTTGGGCAACAGGGAGAAAAGCTGCCGCAAGGGAGGATGAAGGGAGTCACAACCAGCACCTCCATCCTGCTTCCTTCTGGGCTGCAAACCCTCCTGCCTGGCAGGTCTCCTTCCAGCACGTGCCAGGGAGGCAGCCCTCCCTCCTTGGCACCAGCACCCTCTGCATCCCTCTGGGCTCTGATTTTTGCTGGTCCTTGGCAGGACAACAGGCGCAGTAGCAGCCCTCTTCCCTGTGCTCACCTCTTCCTCCTTCCGCAGGCTGTCGGGCTGTGCCAGCCGGAACAGACAGTCATAAACGGGGTTCACCAGAGCCATCATGGGCATGTTGTTCACCTGTAAGGAGGCAGGAGCCATCATCAGCTTGGGGCCAGAAAGGGAGGAATCTGCAGCTATTTTAAATAGTCGTTCCCTTGCTGGTCTTCAAAGGAGAAGGGAACAGAATTTAGTTGTGCTGCCAAATGCTGTATTGGTGGGATTTACATGACAGACCAGACGTTCAAGTCTCCAGGAGCCAGAAAGGCTGAACAAGTGATGTAAAACCACATATTTTTAAACATAAGCAGGTAGTCATGGGAAACACATTTGTTGCAACAGCATTTTTCCTGCCTGCAGCTCTACTTGCATCATTTTTACATCTACTCCAAGCAGGCATCCAAGTACACACGCTGCAGCAAAGGCTTGCAAACAACTCTGTCAGTATGTAAGCTAGAAATTATGTAAGCACCCATGGATGCCCCACCAGGACCCTGTAGCAACTAAACTAATCCGATCTGGGACATTTGGGAGCAGGCAAATCAGAGGATTTCTAACACCAGGTACAAAATGAGGAAGCTCAGACTCTGCAACTGTTCCCAGAGATGGCTCCCCCTCTCCAAGCCTGTTTGCTCACCTGTAGGTAGCATTAGCCCTGGCAGCATCCTTATGCTGAGAACTGGCTCTGGCCCCCACTTCTGAGCCACGGCCCTGGGGCTCTGTACGACACCCATCCAACACCCCTGCCTTGGCATCGTTGGATGCCCAGGCCCTTCTGGCACCCCTAGGCAGCAGCAGCTGGGTGCTCCTGCTCCAGCTCCTTACCCTCAGGTAGTCAAAGATGTTGCAGATGAAGGTGACGTAGCAGATCCATGCCTGGAGTGAGCGGGTGCGCAGCTCCTCCCTGTCCTTGTACTCCTGCTGCAGCCGGTTCAGCAGGCTCCTCCGGAAGATGCTCTGGCCGACTTGTTTGCTTTCTGCCTACGAGCCCACAAAAGCAGGATGGAGTGATGAAATGCGGGTGTGAGAGGATGCTACTTGGGTGATGTAGGACCACACAGATACCCTCCTGTGGTTGCCCAGAGAGGCAGGAAAGCTGCAACTTGCCAGCTGCTTGTCTGGGTGCTGTCACTGCACAGGGCAAGCAGCAGGAGAGGGAAGTTGGCTGAGGGGTCAGAGCGCAGGGCTGGGATGAAGCCTCTCCCGGCCCAGCCAAGTGGCAACCCACAGAGCTTAAGTGTTTCACTGTCTGGACACGAGGAGCTCTCACCTGGATGATGGTGTAGCAGATGCGCCCTGCCTCCTTGCTGAACACACAGTCTTTGAGGGACTGGTCCACTATGATATTGGCCACTTTCTCCAGGTCCACGTTGCTGGGGTCTGCAGGGAAGAGAAACACTGTCAGGACCCAGCACCCTTTGTGTCCTGTTTGCTTTGGGATACCTGGAAAGCAACTGAGGTTGGCGCAGGGGCTGATACAACCATATTATAAATGTGCTCACTCGCACATCAAGAGTCACAGCCCCTCTTGCACAATAGCCACTTTGGAGATACCATCTCCAATGGTGTGCGGTCCTCCCAGGCTGGAGACACAGCCATCACGATAGGAAAGCAATGGAGGAAGAGTAGATAATACGGGAAGCAAGAAGTTGAACTGAATCTCAAATCCCAGCACTGCTTCCAAGTTGCATCAGCGGGAGCCAGATGTGCAAACTCCCTCTGGGCTTGGAACAGAGATGTGACTGGTGAGCAGGAGACGTCGGAAGGATGAGATGGCCCCGCAGCGGGTAGGGGCAGAGGGCAGGAACTAGGCACTGGAGAGGGGTGAGAGGCCAGGTCTGAGGAGAGATGCTAGGTTAGAGCACGAGAGGAGAGTACTCCAAAATCAGAGAAAACCTCAACAATAAGAACCAGGAGCTGAGTTTGAACAGCTGCACCACTAAACACGAGGGAGAAGGTGAGAGCTGGCAACAACAATCAGGGAGCAAAGACCTTATCAGAGAAGATTCACCAGCAGGACCCAGTCAAGGATGAACAGAGTTTAGGAAACAGCTTTTCTATGCTTAGCAATCGGTGTTCCTTAAAGGGGTCCAAGCATCCAGCCTCATCTGCCAGCCAAGCTGCACGTGGCAGAGGAGCTAGTAAAAAGCCTGCTGACCTTTGAGGGCTGTTTTCAGCAACTTCTGAGTCTCAGTGTCGAACGACTGTATTTTATACTCTTCTTTGCCAGTTTCCCCCATGACTGGCTTCCTCCAAGGACAAGAGTCAGGGCAACTGATGGGCTAGTGACAGTCCCTAGGGAAAGAGCACACACAACTTAGTTGGACAGAGAGGCAGACCTTCACCCAGCCGTTTGGCAAATCCCATCTAGTGCTGGAGCACAGGCTGTTACCCTGACAGTGCTCCACCCCAAGGAAACTCCTCTGTTATTAGGCCACCCAACTCCAGCCCTAGATCTGAGCAAAGCCTCACTCCCACATCTTTTTAAGCCTTGTGTCCTACCAGCCTATGATAAGAACTCATCTTCAGAGCCTTTACATTTTTCTGATATGAAAAATGTGTTGCAGTCTGTTGATCTGCAGGTTCAAAGTGGACAGCACATCAAGGCAGCCTCAAAATCTACCTATTTCACCTCAGAAGGAGGAGCAGCCACTCCCTTGTGCCTTTGAAACACCAATTCAGCTGGTTTCACACAAAAGCCTGGAAAGAATCAAACCCAGCACCTAAGCATCCAACGCACACTCGCCAGAGTGAGCAGAGCACTTCTCCTGTGCTGGAGTCAGACTCCCTCAACTCCCAACGAGACACAACAAGCTCTGCAGCCAAATCCCCAACAGCAACAGCTCCCCATTTCATCGCCCTGCAGTCAAGCACAGCTCTCTGCAGTACCAATGGTGCTCCTAAATAGTCTCTAGATTAATTTTCCTCTGCTTCATGATACAGTGAAGACAGCAAGAGGGTACGCACGGCACAGAGAGGAAGGGCTTGCTTTGACACACGCACGAGATGATCTGCTGGATGCAAAATGCCAGCTGGCCAGACCCGCAGCACAAACACGAGAAGGCAATCGGCCAAATGAATTTTGCCAGCTTGTCGAAATTCCTGGGCCGTTACTCACCTCTCTCTGCAAACAGGTCCCTGCTGGGATCAAAGCCGAAGAGCCCATCGCCCTTTAGAGGCACGGGACACGTATTTGTAGGCAGCCCGACCCCTCGGACACATCACGGGCCACGAAGACATGGTACAACATGTAATATGTAATAACTCAGAGCAGAGAGCAGATCTCACTGGTGGGTAGAGGCCTGCCTCTGCCCGCCCCACAAGGCCCAGGGCAGACCTTGCCCCATGGGGGTGACAACCTGCTCACTCAGCTCTCACAGCCGAAGCTCTCACCTGCGCAGGGTTACCTGCCCTGGGACCTACACAGAGGTTTCTTTCCCAGATGGATTCACAAGCAGCTTGGGTGCCCTCCGTGCCACGTCTTGGTTAGCAAACGCCTTCCCATCTGACCTCTCCTCCTTCTGCACCGTCTCTCTCCCTCTGTACCAGCACTCAGGACATCCTGCACTGCCAGCGGAGCGGCCTGAGCTCGCCAGCAGCCCTGTATCCCACCGGCAGTATCGCCGCACAGAGGGAACCTGGCGAGAGCTCAGCACTGCATGCAGCGAAGCAAGAAGTGCCCAAGCCCGTCTGGCAGCGTCTCTGCTGCCACCACCCAGCACCTCTCCCGGAGCATCCATCCCCACGGCTCCCCAGGGACGGGCACGGCTGCTTTGAACTGCTGTGCCAAATAACCCTGCCCAGAGCAAACCGGACTGCCCGAGTGTAAAACCAGCCAGGCCTCATCTGCACTAGAGATCCTGCTGCCAGGACCACCCTGCTTGAAGGGCTGGTGGCAGTGGGTGACACTGGGCACAGTCATTTGTGGGTACCGATTCCTCCACTGCAAGTGGTCCCCGCTAGACGAGCTGTCCTGGGGACTGACGTGGTTGGGATTAGCACCCTCAATCTGCTGGGTCATACCTGGTGGGACGGGCTGGATGTGCCCGGGTCATCACAAGGAGAGGGAGAAGAGCAGCGGGTCTCCTCTGCCACCCCTGAGCATCTGCCCCGGGGCCACCCGAGAGGCACTACCAGCCACCCGGGACACCCGTCCCACCCGTGCCGAGCTGCAGGTGGAACCCACCCAGCGCCAAGACGCCTCCTGCCCGGAGTACCTGGGCTCCCCCCGCTGCTGCCTCCCCTCACCCCAGCCCCGCCGGGAAACCTCTCCGCCGGCGGCACAAACCCAAGGGCCCCCGGGACGGAGTGAGCAGCAGATCCCGGGGGAAAGCAGCCCACCCGCGGCCCCCGGGCAAGGGCAGGGGGAGCCGGGCGCAGCCCCACCGACCTGCCGGCCGCCCCCGTTGGGTCCTCTGGTCGCCGGGGCATCGCCGGAGCGTCCCGGGGCCCGCCGCCCCGGCCCCGGTTTCCTCTTAGGTCATTTCCTCGCCCGAGCCGGGGGAGGGCCGGGCCGGGCCGGGCCGGGAGAGCAGCGGCAGCGCCACCGCCTGCGACCGCCGGGCCACGGCGGCCCGCGGGGCTCATCCCCGGTGCTCCCGCCTGCAACCCCGGGCACGGCCGCCTGCTCCCCCGGGAACCCCCCCCCCAGGGACGGCCGGCTGCCCCCCGGTCCCCCCCAGCCACGGGCGGCTCCCCGGTCCCTCCCGCCGCCGGGCTGAAGGCAGCACTTACCCCTCGGTCCCGGTCCCCTCGGGGCTCCCCCGCCGAGCACCGGTCGGGCTCTCCCGGTGAAAGCTGCACCGCGCTGCCGGTCTCCGGGTGAAAACCGCGTTTAATCCGCCCTCCCCTCCAGGGCAGGGCAGGCTGCAACGGAGTGGCATAAAAAAAAAAAAAAAAAAAAAAAAAAAAACAAAACCAAAAAAACAAAAACACAACAAACCCACAACAGGAAAAAAAATTAAATCAGGAAAGGGGAGATGCACTAAGCCAACTCACTACAAGAAGAGCCGAGTATAGTATAGCATACTTTTCTCTAAACTCCCAACCATTTCACAGGGGAAGACCCCTCTGGGGGTGAAGCCTTCGCAGCGTTTAGAGGACAGCAGAGCAGCCAGGCTGCTGAAACCAGAGGACAGCCTCAGGAAACGCAGAATGAGCAGTTTGGGAACATTTTCTGCAGCGCTGTGGGGCCTGGCTAAATACAAAACAAGCCTGAACACATCCCCCACGGGTGCACGGCTCGGGACCAGCCCCCACGGCTCCGACAGCCCCTCTCGGGCACAGCGGCGGGTCTGGGCCGAACAAATCCCCTCGGTGGGGTTCTCAACAGCCCTACCCAAAGCATCACCCCATAGCCCAGAGGGGATGGGACGGTTCTGCCTCCCGGTGAGGAGCACCCGGGAGCCAGCGATGGGATGGGAAAACCAGATGGCTCCTGCTGGCCCACACTGAGCACCAAACATCCTCCCCTCTGGGCAGCAGGAGGGTTGCTGCTGCCCCACGAGGTCCGGCCGAGCATCAGCACTGGGGGGAAAGCAGTAAAAAAAAAACAAACAAACAAAAAACTGCAGCCAGACATGAGCGTAACAAAATATTTAATGTACCTTTTCTCAAAGGTAGGCACACGTCGTGCACAGATGCTTTCAGACAACAGCAGCTGCAAAAGATCCACTCAGGCAACAGAGCAAAATGCTGCAGAGAATTGCAGTTCTACATCACAAGAGAAACTTAACACAAATTAAATACAATCTGTTCCAAGTCCAACTGTAAAAGATTAATTTATTTCCAAAAATGATGCGGTGCCGCTCTGGATGAACATCCTGAGAACAGGACTGTCCTAGAACCTCGGCGAGTCAGCCAGTGCTGCAGGAACAGTGTGTTCATCCCAGAACTTGTGCGTGGATGCTCTCCCGTGCCAGGCCAGCTAAGAGGGCTGGTGGATCCCCTAACAACCTCAGTGCAGCCTGACTTGAATGCTTTGCCTGCTAAAGTGCTTTTGGACATTCTGATGGTAAAAGGCACTAGAAGAAAACAGATGCAATTGCTGAGCAAGTTGTGAGGTGAATTTCAGGCAACGCAAATCCCCGCTGATAGGATTACATCAGAGTGAAGTCCCAGCCATCCCAAAGGGCAAACTCTGGCGCAGTCTCACAGCGAGTCACTCACTGCGTTGAGTCACTTGAAACTGAACCGGTGCACAGAGTTTCTGAGAGCAAATCTGTCCCAGCATGTGGGAAAACAAGGTGACTACAGATCTCTCCCATCTCTCACTCCTCTAATTCTAGGAAATTGAGCTTCAAACAGCATGTGTTTTGCCAGAGCAGCATCAGAAATAAGACCTGTCCTCCTAATGCTTTGCACTAAACCACTCTCATTCCCAAAGGGAAAACAATATTCCCATTACAGTCCTTTCCCCAGCAGTGACTCCCAGTTAGCCAAGTCCATGCTGGAAATTTATGAGACAGATGCTGCTGACCAGAAGTGAGTGATGAAGACTGTTAGATGCAACTTCTCATATTGTATAGTTGCGGTTGTTATTTCTTTCTCTTTCACTCACTAGAAGACCAGGTGCCTCTATGGGCCTGTAACATTCACAACTAACAGCCCAGAGCGATACATAAACCAGGCTGCATGCCTAAAGCCTTCTGACCAGGGAGGGTCATCCACAGCCTGGCCCAGACTGGCCCAACTTGAACTCCGACTGTGCCACCTGTTGGACAGAGGCAAGCTCATTTAACAGAGAGTAGCTACGGAAGAAAACTATCCCAGAGAAGAAAAGCAGCTCTATACTCTCCACTGCTGCCCTTGCTGTGGAGCAGCCAAGTTGCATGCCCCTACAGCTGTGTGCCTGCTTCACCTCAAGCTCCACAGCACACTCAAGGAACATCAGCTTATCAGACCAGAGTTTTCAGTTCTTTATTCATAACCCCTGTGACAACCAAAGCATCTCACCCCCTATTTCAGAGGTTGCAAATCCCACTGCCGAGTTCCTAACCAGTTTCTCCCTGTTTTGTGCAGTTTAACAGCAGCTCTTTGACATGAAGTGGAAAACAGGAGTTTTGTAATGTTTAGACAGGATGGATGGGTCCTGATTTCCTATGGAAGCCTAGGTCAGCACAGAAAACTTCCTGCTGTGGCCAGTCCTGTCCCTGCTAACCATGACAGCATTCCTCTCTACCAGCAGCCAAAGGACAGTAACAATCCCAACCTATCTGTGTCTGTTTTGAAATGAGGTATTTCTCTCCCTCAGAAGGATGTCATGAGGCTAAGTTCATTACTGTTATGATGCCTTTCCAAGAACAACAGATGAACAAATAAAGGCAAAGTATTGTTAAGAAGATTATGGGGAAATCTCAGAAGAGCCTAACACAGGAAAATGCCAATAGAATTGAGACACTTCGAGAAACTTTACTTCACATTCTTTCCATTTTCTCCTCTAAGCAAAAGTGCCCATTTTTAGCGTACATGCAGCTAACACTCCCTCTTTGAGGTTCACATATCAGCCTCCTGTCTGACACCATTCAGTGAATTTAATCTTACGTAGCTCTCCGTCATCTGCAGTGAAACAGCCACTTTGCACACCAAGATCTCAAACCACAGCAGACACAAAGTTATTTGGCCTGGGCTTCCAAGGAATCTCTTTACATACCTCAGCCACCAGTGAAACAGCTGCTCTTTAAAAACAGCCTCTCACAATAGTTCAGGATAAGTGAGCAATGCTGATATGCTCAAAATTGCCAGAAGAAGTTACGTCAACAGAATGGAATTGGTCACACTGGAATCTGGCCAGACCATTTGGGATTAGCACCCTGAATATCACAAAAGAGCCACAAAAAGCTCTGCATTAAGAAAACTACCATCAAACCATCCTCTAAATAAATGTAGTGCTCTGCCCTATCCACCACTTGCCAGATGACTTTTTTATCTCAGTGGCTCTTCCTCAGAAGTCTGCCTTTCACACACTCATCCAGCCACACCCTGCTCAGCTTTCAAAAACAGAATAAAAGAGGTGGAAGAAAGTAATTCTTCTATTTTTCCCTGTTATGTAAATCGGAATTGGGTTTGGGGTTTTTTTTTCAACCACCCACAAAACCTTTGAAACTCCAGAAAAACACTTCTCCAGCTCCAATTCAATCATCCTTTTCTTGTCAAACTCCATGCTAAGCCAACCAATTCCAATTTCATGTTCAGACCTCTCACTTCCACTGATCTTGTCAAAACATTTTCATCTGTTAGCACCACTATAGGACTGAGGTTCAGAAATGTTTTGAGGCCACTACAGAAATACTTGCTAGAAACATTCAAAGGTGGTTTTAAAAAAAATAAAATACATTTACTAGTTTCCACAGGACTTTTCCTTCATTATTCCATCTTAGACTAAATATTTCTAAAACTCTATACAACATTTGTTACTCAGGGCACTGAAGCAAAGAACCCTGAAGTAAGAATTGGGCTTGTGCGTTGAATCCCCTTAGAGTGGGGTTCTTAACCTGCAGGTCTACTTGTAAAAACCATGACTGAGGCAGTGCAAAACCCTGAGAGATGTATGGCAAGATGAGGAGAAACAGGCACTCAGGATACAATCAAACTCTCCAGAGTTAAAGAAAGTTTGGGTCAGCATGATTCACTAGAAGTTTCTGTGTTTAAGGCGGCTGAAAACGCACAGCCAGCAGGTGGTAATCAAGAAGCAGCAGCTGGCAGCAAAGAAAAGGAAAATCAAAGGTCTGTGCACATTAAAGAGTTTTTAACTGACTTCACAGCAGCAGGATAGAGCTACCTGTGCAACACAGAGAAAAGACTATGGTGCAAACAGCAGGTCACAGAGCAAGAAAACAAAGCTGTGCGGATGCAGTGATAGGGAGTGATGTTAGATTGGTTAAACTAAGCCAGGATTCCTCCCTGTGATCCAGGGCAAGGAATTCACCTGCTTTATCAGGTGCCTTTCCAGAGCACAGTCTTTGCTAGGTAGTTGTCTGCTTGGTTCCCCCCTCTCCCCACTAAATGTGTGCTGATATTAGAGGAGACAGAGAAAAAAAGTGCTCAGCTGAACAGCTTCCAGCAAAGCAGTTCAGTATCTTCAGCAGAACTGCAGTCGCCTTCTCCTTCTGCTTGGTCCCGGGAGGTGATTTCCTACAGGCTGGTGGAGCTCTGACATTTCCAACATGCTCATGACAGAGCAGAGCCATCAGTTCACCCTCCTTCAGGAGACAACAGGTAGCCGCATATATGCCCCCTTCAGCCTTCCTTCCTCGTAGTGCTGTCGGTGGTTTTGAGGGCACACAGCAGGCTGCAGAACAGCTCATACCAAAAGAAGACAAGGCCAGTAGAGACAGCAGCCTTCAGCAGGCTGGGCGAGAGGCCCTTAAAGAATCCACCTGGGCCCTCCTCTCGCATGATCTGCCTTATGCAGTCCAGGAGACCCCTATAGATCTGTACCTGGGAGAGAAATGTCAAAAAGGTTAAACAAGAAAACTCCTGGACAACTTACCTGGAAAAGAACATAGAGATCCCCAAACTATACCACAGAAACATAATCCAGATGTGCAGCCTGGAGATGCCTTTCTGGCTATTATTATAACTAACCGAAAGTTTGAGACAGCCAGTTTGTAGAGACTAGGGTAGAAGAAAAGTACATTTTTTGCATCAGCAGTGGCTTATGCAGATCATTCTAACTAAATGGCCATAAAATCTTTATGCTACAACAGCATATATTATTTGTGGTACAAGCTTGTGAAGTAATTATTTCAGATTGTGCTGCTACTGTTTTCCATCCCCTTCACTTTCTAAGGAGGGACAACTTTTCAGTTTTCTGACAGAAAGAAAACACAGCTAGAGCACTTAGAAGTCCCTAAATGAACCATCTGCAAGTCATTGTGTCACTGTGAAGGGTTAACATCTTGTGACACATCAATGCTAAGAACAAATTCTGTACCTCACTGGAAGAGGAAAAGCATTCAATGCAATGGGTTAAAACTTCAAATTCCTACCCCAGTTTCTTGAGGTACAGACTGATTTGCTTCTCAGATCCAAGGAATTTGAAGGAAAAATTTCCACATTTCACATAAAAAAAAAAGATAGTTCCTTGAAAGATCTGTATTTGCTTTACAGCTTATTTCAAGGTGGTAAAGATGGTGCTAGAGAACACTGGAAGTATTTAATTTGCTCTGAATTTCAGGATGTTCTGGTACATAAGACACCTGCTGAACAGTTGGTGCCCATTCCTTGTATCAAAATATTAATTGCAGAAAAGGATCCTGACAGCCAGGAGATCCCAGCATAAAGTCAGTGTTACCCTTTGCTAGTAATTTGGTCCTGAATCAGAAATACCAAGATGCAACTAGAAAAGCAAAATAAATCAAAACTCCTTTGCTGGCCTAACTCATCCCCAGCTCCAAGACAGCCAACTTGATGGAGATGGATGAGAAGGCAGAGCAGAGGTATGTTGGACAATGTCATAAAATTAACCCAGGATATTCATGCAGCTATTCCCATCATCAAGCAAAACCAATGCTCAGCTCCCAGAAGCTCCCTGGGAACCACCAACCCAAATATGACACAACAGGTACCACTGGTGAATCATCACTGCATTCTGATGCAATGGACCGGCTCTGAATTGTATTGATGCAAATCCCTACTCAGGAAAATCTGTCAATTCCAACATTTCTCACCTGCCCAAAAGCTGCCCGGGCATGCTCAAAGCCACACACTTGCAGTCGTTTTTTGAACAGGTCAAAAGGGTAAGTAAGGGTTTTGCTGATGATTCCAGCGCAGCTGCCACAAACAAGGTTTTTAACGTTGCCTGAGAAGCAGAAAGGGGAGAGGATAGTGCAGAGGGAAAAAAGATTATCAAGGAGTTCTGATTAAAGTTCATGATAGGTAAGTTAAAAATCACTTTTCACAAGAAGTAAGGCTGAAAAGGCCCTTTAAAGTTACATCACCTCTTCTGCATAGTTTGGGCCACAGAATCTGTATTTTCTACATCAGGCTTGCAGTATCCATTGGAGCCAGAGTGTAACAGCTCATCTTGGTTCATGACACTGATTTATATTTTTGCTCTGCCAAGTGGCATTGCACAAAAAAACTCCTAGTCACCAAAGAACCTACCACTAGTGGATGGAAAAGTTTTTATGTCCCCAGTAAAGGCCCAGTCTCTGGAAATCTTGCACTCCTGATTCCTCAAACTGGCTTATTCTGGATTGGAATAAGTCACAAATTGGCACTGCCTGATGATTTCAGAGGCTTGAGGGAAATGGGTTTTGTGATATTAGATTATTTCCTGACAAACATGAGTTCCCAGCACAAAACCACCATCAGCCTCTGCCATCTAAAAATAAATATGCAGACATGATATGGAAAAGTCTATTTCCTCCGCTGAAGAAATTCCATTAAGGAACAACAACACGCTGATGCTGCATACACTCTCTAAGGGAGGCACTAGTATCTAGAACTGTCAAGGTGACAGATTCTCTTATAAGAGAGCTAGAATTCAATGTAAAAATATCAAATTAGGAGCTTGGAAGTTTTAAATCAGGCTAAATTAATCCTCTTCTGTAACAGCTGTGCTACAATCTGCAGGCAGATTTCCTGAGGAAATCCAAGAGTCCTGTTCCCGTAGCACTAATGAAACAGAGAAAGATCACATCAGCACTGTCTTCCCACAGTATCACTAATGTGACACAGCTCAAGAAAGAGTACCCCAGCCTGTGACACTTCACTTTCCCACCATGGTTATTCCATAACATGAGCTGTTTATAAACTTCCTGTACTTATTTTTGCAACATCTGTGCAGAGGTAAGAATAAGAGAAGAGAAATTGAGATACTTTTCAGACTTTGTATCAAAAAGGGTGATAGGACAGAAAACTGAGCTTATGTCATTCTCCCAAACTAGCATTCATCCTCTCTTTCTCTTCAGACCACAGACATCACTGTCCCAAGTACCTACCTCCTTTCTTTCCTTCAGCTGGAATCACCCATTCAGAAAACTGCTGCAGGATGTTGTAGAAGGAGAACTGGAGACCAGCATATGGAAAGATAGCAATAATTGTGGGGGTCAAACCTCTATAGAAAGTGCGAGGCCCTTCTGTCTGGTACATCATCACCACTGCATGGCGAAGGTTGCGATAGATCTAGGCAATAAAGAAGGGGGTGAACCTCTAGTGAGACAGGCTTAAAAACAGCAAACCAAAGGTCAGGTTATTTCCCAGTAACAAGGATAGGCATTTCCCACTGCCTAAAATACAATGGACTGATTTTCAGCACAAAGCAAGGAACAAAGTGATTTTGCACATCTTCCTGTGGTATTCTCAGCTAAGCCCTTGCGCCTCTTATAAATAAGCTGACAACCTAAACCTACCTCTGAGCCACAAGGGACTAACTGAATGAATGATTGTTAGCTCTGCACTGAAAGACTGACACTGTATCCCACATCCAAGCTGTACTTCTGAGGGAAAGAAACAAGGCACAGAGTTGAGGGCTGTGGCCTGAGACCACCTCCATCACAGACACTTATTTTTCTCTTAACTGCTCTGCTTGCTCCTGCAACAGAATTCATGGAATATATATTGTGATTTTACTACAGGTTAAGTCAAAACCCAGAAATGGCTCTTATACAAACCCATATGGGTCTAGCTATTACAGACCTAGTCAGCATGGAGACCAATTCTTGCACAAATAAGATGAAACACAGGTGAAAGGTGCCTGGCCTCAAGTATCACCCCCATCATTATCTAAACACGACTCTGTGAAAGTGGAAAATTTCAAACACGCAATGTTTGACAGACTGGGATTGCATTCTATAAATGGCCAACAGGCAAAATGAAAATTGAGTTATCCTGTTAAGAACAGTTTCTCCTTTCTGGATCACGTCAGGAGTCAAACACAATCACGAGCAGCAAAACATAATTAAGGAAGCTGTGTCAACAGCACAGAGGATAACTTGGCAACAGTGCAAACATTGCCCAATAACAGCACCTGCTCCTTTATGCTAACCTACAAACTGCTACATACTTTCCAAACCTCCTGTAGTCATACACATGAAATATTGCTACTGCTACAGGTGATAATTCCAAACACTGAATCCTCAATCATACCTTAGGCTCACCCTGCGCCGCAAAGCGGGTGCGTAGCGTGTCAACAGGTTGAACTGCAACAGTGGCTGTACAAGCAGCCAGTCCACCACACACAAAGTGCACAAAGGAATCACGGGCATCGTAGGAGGTGACGTTGTGCACCAGTTTTGTCAAGCTTTCAAATGCCATGAACTTAAAGAAACAAACATACACAGGTCAAGGAGTCAATCCTTATCACTGACATCGATCTCCCACTCCTCTCTCATTTTACCACAAGAGCTCCACCCAGTGCTTGTAACCACCTTCTCCCTCTGTCCTTCAAAAGTCCTCCCAATCTGTTGGAGCGTGTGCTCAAAGAATACCTCCTAAAAATCACTAAGCAGGCCAGGGAATCCTTGCATTTCAAATTGTGAAAAACTCATTTTAATGCTTTATATGTCCTAAAGAGTATCTGCTGTATTAAAGATAATGTGTCCATTAATCTTCCACCCACCTCTCATTAAGTATGTTGATAGTATTTACAAATTAAACATAACAATGCTGTGTAAAACACCATCATCAGCTTCACTGATTTCCTAACAAGCTGTTAGTCAACAGTGTGAACAAAAGCAAAAAACTACACAGAAGTGGAACATAAACAGCTAAGCCAAGAAAAAACTGGGTTTGTCTGTGACACCAGATATGGACAGAACTCAGTTTGCTCTAGCTGTGCTCCAGGCTGCCCAGGCAGGTCGTTCAGCAAGATCAGGAATATTACCTTAGGAATTATACATCAGCATTATACAACTACACACCTTTGAGACTGGAGCTCAGTACAGTTTAAACCTGGACCTTTTTGCATCTGCCCATGCAGCTAGTCTGAAGAGGAGCAAAGCAGAGTTGTATGTATGTATGCTATGTCCAGGTGATGTCTGGTCAGCTTACCTGAACAGCTCCATAGCCAACTGAAAGGAACTGAGCAGGAACATGGCCCTTCCAGAAGGCTACCAACCCCTCTTCCTGGAAGATGCGCTGTACAGCTTGCAAGATGCCATGATACTTAGCCCCTGGGTTTCTGGGGGAGAGCTGCTCGATCTGAAGCTGGAGGAAAACAGAAAATATTTTCAATTCCATGTCACATGTCAACAAGGTTCAAGTGTCCAATTCAGGAATTCACAACCCTGTCAACCAGCCAATGTCAAGAGGTGACATTCTGCCTTCCCACAGAATCACATCTAGAACAGACAGGGATGTTATTTACATAGAGCTCTAAAAGAATAAAAACACACATGCAACACAATGGTAATCAGTAGGGATGATGATGAAATTCTGTTAAGACAGTGGAGATCATTCAGAAAAACAGAGAAAGAGAATAAACTATGAAAGACACAAGATCCCATTCAAACACACAAGTTAAGTTATATAAACAGAAGCAGCCGACACAAGATAGCCCTACTGCCTTGCATAACCTGTATGCAGTGCAGGTGAGGGCTGAGGGGCAGATGTAGTGCTTTCTGGTTGCACAAGTGACCTATCCATCCAGGACAAGATCAGCCCTGCTCTGTAACTGCTTCCTTCACCCTCCGTCCCTGAGCATGCCACGAGGAAGGTACCTGAAAGCGGATCTTGATGACATCCAAGGGACTGATAAGGACCCGAGTGACAAAGCCAGATGCTGATCCTGCTGCAGCTGCTTCCACCGAGGAGACGCACTTGGCCTCAGGGTCATAGCCGACCATGCCTGCCTGGTGTCCCCGCAGCCTGGGCAGGGGGACAGGGGCCCCAGTGAGCCCTCCCGCTGAGCCTAGAGGCTCCTTCCCACACCGAGCCTCCAGAGCCTCACCCGCCTTATCTCACAGGCACCCCCTCCAGAGCCGCCCTCACCCCAAAGGCCCACAGCCCCTCCTCTTACCCCAAACCCCTCCCTCACTCCAAGCGCCACACAGACACCCCCCCTCCCCCAACAGCCTCCCCCCCGCCCCGCGGCAGGCACCGGAGCTCGGGTATGGAGCCAAACGGCGGGCGTGGCCGCCGGCTGCGGTCCGCTCGCGGCGCAGGCCCCGCCGGGACGCTCTCACCCGCCCGCCGGCGTCTCCGCGCCGCACTGCGCCTGCGCGCCGCGGGGGGCGCTGGGAAATGTAGTCCCGCGGGCCCCGCCCGGGGGTGCGGAGCGCGGTTTCCGAAATGGCGGGCGCGGCCCAGAGCACGTTGGGATGTTAAAAACGGCGCCCGCACCAGCGGCGCCCGGGCGGCCGACAGTCAAGGGTGCGGGGGTTTAGGCCTTTTCCGCAGTCCAGCACCAGCTCTGCCGACCCACACGCCAAAGCCAGTAAGTGGAAAAGGAAAACACCCATAAAGAAATCACTTGCTTACAGCAGTTCTTCCACGCTGGCCTTAGCCTTGACATTTTATAATCACAGTAGCAACAGACATTTTTCTTCCCTCTGTAAAACACAAGGAAAGGAAGTTTTTCTAAACTTTTCAGTAGAGATCCAATAGCACACAGTTTTGAGCAACACTTTGTTACACCATTACAAAAAAGCCAAGAGCTCTGAACCACTTTGCAAACTGTTTCTATATTGACTTTACTGGCACAAACAAAAAATAAAGAACTAATCATAGGAACATCCAGGCATTTATGAGCAACCACAAACTCCTTGACTACATCCGTAGCTGAGTATAATACCTAAGAGCAACTGTCAAAACCCCCAAACCCTCATGTGAGCCTTTTCCTATCGTATATTAACATCGACCACAAAACTCAGAAGCACTTTCTGAACATAAGCAAAGGCCGGGGAGAAGCTGCAGAGCCAAGAGATCGGCAGTTCCTGACTGGTAACTTGCAGAGCCGCCCGCACACCCTGTTAGCACAACTGAGCAGTTCCGTCTCTTCCGTGAGAACGAACCGCAAGGCACTCACCAAGCAGAGCAAAAGCTCCCGCCTGCTGCGCTTACACAAGTCATACCCCCTTTTTCCCCCCCTGTCCTTCAGCAAAATGCTCCAGAAATAACGGGTGTAGGGTTCTCCCTGACTGGCTCCTTTTGACATTACAGTCCATACCATTGGGGCACTGGAGCAGTTCAGTAAAAAGCTTAGAAAAAAGGGAAGAAATACTGAAGTGCCACCCTCCCATTCAGCTGATACACAGCCTTCGATCCCAGAAGCGACATGATCATTCCTTTCCCCCCGCCTCACTATTCATAATGGCACACATGCCGAGTGACACGGCTCCCTCTTGAAGAGTCTGAGCACTTCAGGCCAGAGCACACCTTACGGGAGCTTTTCCCTCCCACAGCGATCTAATATCCTATAAATCAGCTCAGTCAGTCATATTTTGGTCAGTTAACTGAAATAATAGACAGATGCTCAAGTGAAGAATTCAATGTATATTTATTATTCACAGTTAATTACTATCTACCAAATGCTGCTGCAGAGTTAAAGGATTAAGTACATAGGCCTTTTTTATTTAAACACTGATTTTTTTTTTTAATATATATACACACACAAGACATATGTCTGCAAGGCTGCATGATATACACCAATTCCAAAATAAGGAAACAATCAAATGGTCCAGGTGTAGAATGCCATAGATTCCTTTTCCAATCACTTTACAAAGAAGGAAGAAAGTGAGTGACCGCTAGCAAGGAGAGGGAGAGAAAGTAATACTCTACAGGATAGCTCTCTCTTTCATCTGCTGGAAAATTAAAGTGTAAGGCAGAGTCCATCTCAGGAGTAAAACATTTGTAACACTTAGTACAAAAAAAGGCACCCTCCAACAAAAGATTGCCCATGCTTAGGCAGGGCAGGAGGAGATCTCTGCTGCATTTTTTGGATTCGTTGGTGGGGTGAAGAGATCCAGACAAATGGCCATCAAAAGGAAAAATAATGCAACTGAATATTGGCACAGAGAGCGGTGCAGCTTGATTGCTTTCCTTTCTGTCCAATTTAATGTTGCACTGCTCTGGTGGAGAAGCACATGGCCACAATAAATGCCATTATGGTGCGGGGTGGGGATTACAGTCATCACACAGCCTGCTGTGAATGGGGAGCGGGGTGGGGGGAATCTACTTCAACAGTAACACTGACCTGAGGAGGGAGGAGAAACTGGAGAACAGTGATGCCGACCCCACTTTTCAAGAGCAACACGACTGCAAATATTCCCTATCCAGGCCAAAGAGACAGGCTGATTACATGCATCACATAGAAACATTCACTAATAGCATAAAGTTTTTTCAAGCACTATTTCTTGAGGTTTCTCTGCATTATAAAGTTTTCCACCAAAGGAATGTACATTTTATAGGATATCTCAGGGCTATTATTTCTCAAATTCCCCCCTTAACCCTCCCCCCTCCAAATATTCTTCCTCATTTTCCCTGGTCATAACTTCCCCCTTTCTCTTACTTCTTTTGCAGCTCCCCACTTCTGAGCAGCCTAAGCTGCCACTTGCATGTCTTGATTTTAATTTTCCTTGGTATAAGGGAAGTTGAACAGTAAGACAAATCTTAAGATTAAAGCTCCATCTCTGTTCATAGATTTTTCTCAAATGTCCATTGATAAAACCACCCCCTCCTTTACACATCCTTCCCCCAAAAGTATTTATTTACACATAGGCAGAAAAAAACCCTCTGAAAAGCTCTGGACTGTCCTTTTAACTTAAAAAAAAATAAAAAAGAAAGTAAGGGAAAGGCACTATGGAAAAAGTTACAGAATGTGCTCAACCGTACACCTTTAAGAAAAAATAAAAGCTGTCAGCACAGCATTAACATACTTCAGTTGTACGTTGGAGTTTTTCAAAGCAGCTCTGTGACTCAAAAGAAAAAAAAACAAAAACAAACACAACAGAACAAAAAGCCACATAACTCTTCTCCCTTCCCCTGCTTGGAAGCTGCTGAGCTTCAGAAGAAAGTGCCAAAGGAGAAGAGACAACAAAAATTAGATTAACACCTCATCTTTCCCAGGCAAGAAGAGCTGAATGTTGAAGGCAAAAGCAGAGACTGATGATTTTTGTTTTGTTTTTAAAGGCAGGACTGTGGATTTGGTTCTTCTCTCATGTCCCTTCATGTCAAATGAAGACCGTTTGCAGAGAGAGAAAATACCAGCAGAGTTTCTCCCTTTTCCTTTAACTGCATGGCTAGGACTTTATATGGCATTAAAACTTCATGCACTGATGGACAGAGGAGGAGGGGGAAACAAAAAGAGTGAATAAAAGGGGGTAACCCAGGAGCAGCTGAGGAAATTTTATTTTCTTTTTCTTTTTTTTTTTTTTTTTCTCTCTCTCTCTTTTTTTTTTTATTTTTAAAGATAAGTTTTGGTGTGTAAGTTGAACTCTTCCCCCCTCCCCGCCCCTGAAGTTCCGTACTGAGTGAAGGAGGATCACCTCACGGTGAAAGGTGACTCAGGTTTTATCGCCGTGTGATTTTAGTTCACTGGCTGCAGTTAGGCTCTGTATGTGTATTTATTGTTTCTCTGGTTTCTTTAAATAATCTCTAATATTTATCTCTAGATGTTCCGGTTCACTGGGGTCACATAGTTGCGTGGAAACATGCCCGTCTGTCCGTGGCAGGCTCCCTTCCACCAGTTGGGGTCAGAATTGTCAAGGACTTGGATAAATTCTCCACGACGGAAGCCCAGCTCTCCTTCCTCCTGGGGATCAAAATCAAACAGGGCCTGAACGTATGTTGGTTGCTGAAAGGGGAAAGAAAAAGATAAACAAAGTGAGAATCATCCACAGTACTCAAGACACCTGCTCCCTCAGGCAGGAGCTTAACTTACACTGGAGTTTATTGTTAATCATTCGGGCTGTTTCATTTCCCTGCAAGCCAGCTTCCAACATCTGTAACAAGATGCTAAAATAGGAAAGCATAGTCTATAGAAGACCTTAGAAAAAAGTCAAGCTTCTGTGAAAGAGCTGAAAATAAAGACAGCAGATGACTCAGATGTTTCCTTAGTATTTTCCAGTCTTCATGACCTACTGTAAATTTGTACTCTATCTCAATACAAAAGTTTTTTTGCTTATTCATCCTGTTTTCACAAACTCACAGCATGAATATTACTAATCTAACACTGTGATACTTCCCCTAAAAACTGGATGTTGGCATTTAACACATTTTCCTTAAATCCCTCCAATATCAAGAAATTCTGTCACAGAGCATTTTGCCTGGTCAGCAAATACTTCCATTCTCATGGAAAAGCTAATGGTTTGTGTAAAATGGATTTAAGGCTAGGAAGGTATCCTCATGCTTGTCATTTTCAGCCAGTTGTTTTCTCATCCTCTGCTTATCACTGACTCGACAGTGTACAGCCAGATGTTATTTCAGACAAACTGTGGCAAAGGGTGCCAGCAGCACCTGGAGAGCAGCACGAATTCCACACCTTATCTTCAAGCTAGAACTACAATACAGCACATGGAAGCAAAATGATTTATCCAAAATTGACAAAGGATCCAGTTACACGCAACATAACGTTCTGATTGCCCTGGAAAATGGAACAAACCAAAGAGCTAGATATACACAAGCTGCACTGCTGGCACATAGCAGTGGTTTTTGTATTCTCTTAACACTGGCTAGATCCAAATCAGAAGGCTAGAGATGCACCTGTGACCACCTCTTCAGTAAAGACCAGCAGCAAAGCTTCACTAGCTACTGAGGGGTACAGTTCTGGCTATAAACTGTATAAATAGAACTATCCTTTCTTGCTATGTCCTAAACCAGGAGTAAACACATTTTTAATTCACAGGAATCAGGTGACCTTCCTGCAACAGTATCCATAAACATTAAGAAAATCTCTGAATAGTGCACTCTAGGAGGACACTTCTCTTACCTGTGGCACCTGTTCAATGTCCCGGAGAAATATTTGCTGGTTCCTGGAGACAGATGTGGATCTGTGATAATCTACCAGCTCGTTCAAAGAATTGAACTTCACCACCCAGAGGAAATACTTGCCAGCCCCATCTCTAAGCACCTTGAAGTGCTGAACATCATTTCCAAACCTGTGCGGAAAGCATGAAGAACACAGAAAAAGAATGCACATTATTAGTTGCTGAATACTCCTCTTTTGGGATCATCAGCATAGAGTTTGGAACAG